TACAATTACAGACACAGTTACTTTTGAATACGGATACATAATTACCTCACCAACATGTCACTTTGCAACAAAGTCGTCAGCATTTTATTGTTCTCTGAACGCGTTAAACGTTTTGAATGGCACTCCTACCGATAAATATTTACATTAAATCAAGCTTTAGTGCTGCTAAGGACTTGACACAAATCTCCCTTCATTACCCGCCATGTTCATTTAAAACCGGAAGTACGAGTTCGTAAATTTGAAATCTCGATCCCGACTCAAATTTGACATCGGAAAGAAAAAATTCTGTTTTTCTCAATTTTATTTTTTTTCTGAAAATGCAAAAACTTGAGCGGCGGGTTTGTAAACCTAAAAATAAAAAAATGCTGGCCTAACTTTAGAAATAGGGGTCTTTATTCAGGTCATAGAGTTGTGGTATAAAAATCATTGCAAAAAGTTGAGGTTTCTTGAGATATTGTCAGGAAATGAAAGTGAAAGTTGGGGGACAAAAAAGGTGTTCTATACATATACCCGTGTTTGTTGGCAATGGTAAATCCTTTGAACTTCTCCTGTTGAGGTCCCTTACCGTCTTCTTCCTCCTCCTCCTCCTCTATTCTCTCTTCATCACTGAATACATTCTAAAGAAAAAAAAATCATCAGGGTGGATTAAGGATTCTCATAAACACATAGTTTAAAGTAAATTTACCAAATCATTTTTTTTTCATCATAGTATGTGTTCCCCAACTCTTATCAAGTTTACATTACTTAAATATGGTGTATTTCAATCACCTTTCTATTATCTTCATCTTCCTCCTCATTGTCACTCACAAGTTTGAAGGAATCACTGCTGTCTTCTTCTTCTTCATCTAAAGGAGATTTCCTCTTCACACCAGTCTTCTGAGATCTCCCTCCATCCACTTGACTAAAGAGTGATAAATTAGAGATTATATACCTCTACAAATGTAGACCATATGTACAAGCGAGACAGTCTCGTATTAAAGAAATTTTCAATGAGATGCACTACACAATTTCAAATTTTAGTGTTTCAATTACACTAGTAAACACCACAAAAACATGGCTGAAATATAGCTGACTTGGCATTAAGCAATGATCAATCAATCACTTAAGGCAAAAAGATCATTAGAAGCAAGACTAGTAATCTACATTCTGAAATCTACGTCATTTGCGGATGTCTTTCCTCACCTCTCAGCAAACTTTCCTGAGCACAGTCCCATCAGCTGTTCCATGTTGTTCTGGGTATCCGTCTGGGTCCCAAACAACTGCTGCTTACAGGAACCTTTCTTATCATTTTCTGGTTATAAGAAAAAAGGGTAATGGTACATGTTATACTAACTGTTCAGTGGTACAAAGTAATTCACTAACCGAAAAGAATATTAAGAAATTCATATTTTCTTCTCTCTTTTTCTCAAATTATTAAACAATCATGTACTTTTCCCTCTTTTATATATGTATACATAGAGCTTAAAGCAATATGAGCTGCATGTTTGACATCGAGAAAAAATGTTGCAAATTTGTAATTAATTATTTCAATGACAGGAAAATAGAACATTTATAAACTTCTGTTGTTCATATTTGCTATGAAAGAACTTTTTATACGCTTTGATTGAAGCAAAATTGAATTATTGTCGTCCTGTACAATAATGATTTCTTATATCATAATGTATATTCAGTTGTACAGATATTTCTTCTGAAACATTTTAAAACTTTATTTTGGTTTTATTGATCATAAGGGTTTAGATTACATACAGATTAATCATAATAACACATTTTACCAGCAAAATACAATTCTAAACCAGAAGTCTCTATCGAGACTGTAGCTCTACTGGTTTATACTTAAAACAAAGGAAGAGAAAAGTAGCAGTTGGGACTTGAGACTTTAAATCAGCAATAAATAGAACTAGAACTGTCCAATAGGGACAAATACCCCCCGCTGGGTTTTTCAGAGAAGGTGCCAATTCAAAAATACTTAATGGATCTTGAGGTGTTCACTATTTACTTATAAAAATTTAGTAAAATATAAGTGCTCATTATGTTTTTTAATGAGTGAAACAAAAGTGCAACCAAATGAAACATCAATAACTAATACATTGTAATTCAATCGTAACATTTTTTTTATTTCTGCATTAAAGAAATATATTGCAATTATGTGTCATGACACTCTGCAAACTAATTGTTGAAAAAAAAAAATTATACAAAATCAAATTAATCTTGATATATCAAATTCATTTTGAAAATAAAAAGCTGGTCATCCAGTACTGAAGTGCTTTGACAGACAATAAATTACAATTAAGAGAATAAGAGAAGAGAGATCTTTAATTCTTGTGCCTTATTCCCTGGAGATTTGATAACACACACACGCTTGATAAGAGATATGCCTTAACAACCTCCAACACCAAACTCATTAATTTATCTTTAACTGGATGCATGTCCAGTCATTATTCCCAAGAGACAAATGAATTTACATTATCTTCTATGTAATGTAAAAACTGTTTTAAATACTTGATGATGTTTCTTTTTTTTAGTTTTAATGAGTTGTTTTAAGCTGTACTAGTTCACATTTTTGTACAGATATTCTAGATTCTATCTCTCAAACCTTATAAATGAGCCCAAAATGAACAAGTCAATTTAAATAAAACGTAAAACCTGTAAAATGCAGAAAAATAAACAAATAAAGTTGAAAATTCCAGGTGCACACCTTCATATGGTGAATAATAAGTGTGCAAATTTTCAGATAAATGTGAGAAACGGTCTGCACAAGACCACAAAATAAAAATGAAAAAACACCTGTAAAATTCAAAATAATCATCCAATCAAGATGAAAATAGTAGGTGCACACCTTCATATGGTGAATAATGTGTATAAATTTTCAGACAAATCCTTCCAATAGTTTTTGAGAAATCGTCCGGACAAAATCTCGTCTACAGACAGACAGACGGACAGACGGACTCCAATATACCCCCCCTAAACTTCGTTTGCGGGGGGGTACAAAAATGATCCTTGCCACTCATCAAAATAAAAACCGATGCAAGGAATTATGTATCTTAGTATAGTCTACTTGTGTGCCAAGTTATACTGAAATCAGACCAAAACTGCAGGAGGAGTAGCATTTTGAAAGAATTTCACAGAAATTTCTATTTTTAGTAACCATGGCAACATTGTTCATTGAAATCAAAAACTGATGCACAGAATTATGTATCTTAGTGTAGTCTACTTGTATGCCAAGTTATATCAAAATCAGATCAAAACTGTAGGAGGAGTAGCATTTTGAAAGAATTTCACAGAAATTTCTATTTTTAGTAACCACGGCAACACCGTTTATCGAAATCAAAAACCGATGCACAGAATTATGTATCTTAGTGTAGTCTACTTGTGTGCCAAGTTATACTGAAATCGAACCAAATCTGTAGGAGGAGTAGCATTTTGAAAGAATTTCAAAGAAATTTCTATTTTTAGTAACCAAGGCAACACCGTTCATCGAAATCAAAAATTGATGCACAGAATTATGTATCTTAGTGTAGTCTACTTGTGTGCCAAGTTATAATGAAATTGGACCAAAACTGTAGGAGGAGTAGCATTTTGAAAGAATTTCACAGAAATTTCTATTTTTAGTAACCACGGCAACACCGTTTATCGAAATCAAAAACCGATGCACAGAATTATGTATCTTAGTGTAGTCTACTTGTGTGCCAAGTTATACTGAAATCGGACCAAATCTGTAGGAGAAGTAGCATTTTGAAAGAATTTCAAAGAAATTTCTATTTTTAGTAACCAATGCAACACCGTTCATCGAAATCAAAAACTGATGCACAGAATTATGTATCTTAGTGAAGTCTACTTGTGTGCCAAGTTATAATGAAATTGGACCAAAACTGTAGGAGGAGTAGCATTTTGAAAGAATTTCACAGAAATTTCTATTTTTAGTAACCACGGCAACACCGTTTATCGAAATCAAAAACCGATGCACAGAATTATGTATCTTAGTGTAGTCTACTTGTGTGCCAAGTTATACTGAAATCGGACCAAATCTGTAGGAGGAGTAGCATTTTGAAAGAATTTCAAAGAAATTTCTATTTTTAGTAACCATGGCAACACCGTTCATCGAAATCAAAAACCGATGCACAGAATTATGTATCTTAGTGTAGTCTACTTTTGTGCCAAGTAATATTGAAATCAGACCAAAACTGTAGGAGGAGTAGCATTTTGAAAGAATTTCACAGAAATTTCTATTTTTAGTAACCACGGCAACACCGTTTATCGAAATCAAAAACCGATGCACAGAATTATGTATCTTAGTGTAGCCTACTTGTGTGCCAAGTTATACTGAAATCGGACCAAATCTGTAGGAGGAGTAGCATTTTGAAAGAATTTCAAAGAAATTTCTATTTTTAGTAACCAAGGCAACACCGTTCATCGAAATCAAAAATTGATGCACAGAATTATGTATCTTAGTGTAGTCTACTTGTGTGCCAAGTTATAATGAAATTGGACCAAAACTGTAGGAGGAGTAGCATTTTGAAAGAATTTCAAAGAAATTTCTATTTTTAGTAACCAAGGCAACACCGTTCATCGAAATCAAAAACCGATGCACAGAATTATGTATCTTAGTGTAGTCTACTTGTGTGCCAAGTTATACTGAAATCGGACCAAATCTGTAGGAGGAGTAGCATTTTGAAAGAATTTCAAAGAAATTTCTATTTTTAGTAACCACAGCAACACCGTTCATCGAAATCAAAAAGTAATGCACAGAATTATGTATCTTAGTGTAGTCTACTTGTGTGCCAGGTTATATTGAAATCAGACCAAAACTGTAGGAGGAGTAGCATTTTGAAAGAATTTCACAGAAATTTCTATTTTTAGTAACCACGGCAACACCGTTCATCGAAATCAAAAACCGATGCACAAAATTATGTATCTTAGTGTAGTCTACTTGTGTGCCAAGTTATATTGAAATCGGACCAAAACTGTAGGAGGAGTAGCATTTTGAAAAATTGTTTACAGACAGACAGACAGACGGACGGACGACGGACGCATTACTATCGCATAAGCTCTTCTGGTCTCTGACCAGTAGAGCTAAAAATGCAGCTCATATTGCTTTAATATATGTTTATTTATAGTGAATTAAAAATCAACTTTTTAAAAGAAATAACTACTCTTATATAGAGTTAGACAAGCTGCAAACCTTGGAATCTCCCTGAACATAAACCAAGGAGTTCATCAAAATTCTCTTGTGAAGAGTCCATATCAAAACTCATATAAGGTTTAGACTTTGGTTTCTTGGCTGTTGAACCTGTGCGTAAAAATCTACAAAACAAAAATCCTCTAATAGTAATTGCACGATACATATACAGTCAAACTTCATTATCTTGAACTCGATGTGACTAAGCCAAAAAAATGAAATTTCTGGGGATTCGATACACTGAGGGCAAAAAACTGAAAGAATATGAGACTTTGAGATTTCAAATCACTTTGACATATCAAAGTTATTAAGAAATCAGTGTTCGATCACATTATACTGAAATTAAGGAAAAAGGAAAGAACACTTCAATGTGAAACAAAAACCTACTAATATACAAGAACAGTTACCCATCATTATCAAACATCCTAGACTGGGACTCCTCGATGTAGAAGTTGAGGGTCTGGGATTGCTGGCTGTCCATACAGGTAGAGGGAATGGCTGGGAGGGTACCATAGAGATCCTGGGAGTCCTCCACTGGGGGGATCAGGCTGCTGGTCCTCTTAACCTCCTGTAAAACAAGGGGCTATATATAGATATTGCAGTAATTAACAAATGCTTGTTGTTACATTATTGCAGGTTTGTCTCTAAGAGCCATACATTGGGGAATTTCCACACCTATAATGATGTGATCCCCTTGTACGAGGGTTGATCCAAAAGTTTGTGGAATTTCTTCATATTTTATTTATTTTTAAGTGGAATTAGTTGAAAATATAGACACTTAATGAATATTTTAAATTAAAAAACATTTTAAATATCTTAGATAGTAACTTTATGGCAGTTGCCATAGAAACGGTTGTTTGGAAATGCGGGGGAGACATTACAGCATTTATCATCATTTGAATTCTTCACACGTGAAATGGGAATTAAACCACCCTATGTGGTATATAAAACGAAAATTATGTCATTGGTACGATTGCTTGATCTTTTTATAAACTGATTTTACTGGATATTTAATTTATAAGTTGATGATGTATTGTTCATCTTTAAGTTGTTAGACAATGTCAAATTTCGGTCAAGTCATTAGTTTTGTGAAAATGCCGGGATCACTCTGTCTTAAACGCATATATTATTGATATAGGCTTGTAAAAATGCATTTAGTTACTGGTTTTCCTGTGGCATAAGAAATTTGAGAAAAATGACACGTCCAAGAACGTTGATTAAAAGTGTGATCACTTTTTGAAGGCTCTGCTTTAAGTGCGTGTCCCCTTAGACTAATTCAGTGGGTTAATGGACGTTGTCGGCTGCAGTACTGTTCTTGACAGTGCTGCTGAAATCGGAATATCATATGGAAAGATGGGGAATATTTTGAAAAATGAGTAAAAGATGAAGATAAGTTGGTACGAGAGGATATCCAAGCTTTTCTTGAGAAAAAAAAATGGAGAAAAGGGCAGCATTTTTAATTGTAGAATTATGTATTCAAATTGGACATTAGGGCGAGATGCTTCTACATGTATAACGTGACGTGACATATCTGACTTGACGTTATGTCGAAGTCTCCCCTGGGTTTCCCTACTATCCACTTTTTAGAAAGCTCGTGTGACCTTATAGGTAATTGGAAAGTGGTGAAATTTTTCAATATTGTTGCATTTTGACTCTATATTATGAATATGCCTGTTGATTGATTTCATCAAATCACGATAAAATTTAAGAAATTCCACGAAATTTTGGATCAACCCTCGTACTTCTTTAATGTCTCTTCTATTTCAGTTCATAGGAACAACCCTGTTATCATATTAGTAGAAAATTTAAAAATTATAACAGGATATTTATCCAATAAATAAACAGACTTTGATGTACAACATCAGAAGTGTTAAGGGACACAGACTGAGATATGGAAAATGTGATTACTATAAGGGTTCTATATTTTTGTGTGAGGCCCTAAAAATAGTCCTTTTGAAATTCTCTTCTGAATACAGTGATTAATTGGATGCATTGTCATGAAATCAGGAATACCTGAGCTTGTGTTGCCTGTGAACCATGCATAGAGAAAGGAACAAACATATCATCAAGTGGTTCTTTAAAGAGACCCTTGTCATCAGTTTTGTCCTCCTGTGCTCTCTCTTTATTTGGATCTGATCCACTCTGCCCCTCCTCATTAGTGGCTTTTTCCTGTTCCTCAGTAACATCCCTGCTCTCCTCATCATCACTAATCTGCAAAACTCGGGGCTTCTTTTTCTTTGCTGAAGATTTGATTTGTATTGCTTGGTCTGGAAAAGTTAATAACCAAGGTGTTGTTCTATCCTCACATCAAAAATTTTATCAAAGTATTATTTCTCATAGATTCATTTACTGTATAACTAAAAACAACTATCCTTCCTTTTTTGTTTACCTTTTTCATCTTCTGTCTGATCCTCTACAACATCATCATCATCATCATCTGACAGATGAAGTTTTAGATTATCAACGTCCTCATCACTTTCACAGCCCCCATCATCATCTCCATCATCTTCTTCTGCCTCATCATCAGCAAAGGGGTTTTTCTGTATAAATTATCAAGATATATTAAATTAAATCATAAATTACTTGGGTCTGCAGTATTTAGTGGTGTAATAGGCTCCATGCATAAGGCAGGGATTTCCATACAACACATTCACACAGATAAATATTGCATTCAAAATACATAAAGAATTTGTAACCAAAAGAATAAGTACAATTATCAGCAAAAGTTATCGTGCACTACATGTATATTTCACAAACCTCTTTCTCTCTTTCCTCTTCTTCTTCCATTTCTTCATCTTCGCCAAACTCTTCATCGAATTCATCATCCTCCACATCAGTGTCTGAGTGTTCTGACATTTCATCATCGTTATCTAAGATGGCATCCTCATCCTCTGCTGTGTAACCTTCCTCATTGTCAAGGTCATATACATCCTGCCTCTGCTTCCTAGATTCCTCTCGTTTCACTTTCATTTTCTCTTGAAGCTTCTCTTTAAGAGCTACGAGTTTTGCTCCTGAAAAACAAATATCATTTGACTTTCTATACAATTTTCATTTATGACATTACAGGAATGAAAGTTTTGAACCTGTTATCAGCGTACCTGGTGCATCAATGGCTTGGAGAGAACTCTCATCTTCCTGTGTGGGATGATAAGTGAAAGTCTTCATGTGGAGTTCATCCTTGTCTTTCTCAACAATTCTAAAGAAAAAAAATACAAAATCAACATCAGAGGTGAAACCTTCAGTTTCATAAATATTCCTCAAGAAGCAATCATACAAAAAGCAATACAAAAATATATTGTTAAAGAATCTTTCACACATGACCCAGAAAATTCCTACTGCTTACCTTATATCAACATCCTTGTTGACATGTTTGGTCCTCTTTTTACAATGGTCCATAAACCTCCCCATAAGTTTCCTGACCCCTGGGTTTTGTGGTTCCTCCTCTTCTTCTTCATCTAGACTGATAACAGCATCAGGGCCCCCACTTAACTTAGGAACGGCTGACATGTGTGGCAAGTCAGGTTCTAGCAAGAAAGACAACTTTGATTCCTGAGTTGTGGTGTGTTCTGTCCTGTTTTGTGAAGCAATCTCCTCTGAATTGGATTTGGCCGATTGTTTTTCCAGAGTTTTTGTAGAATCGGTACACTGAGTGTTTGAAATATCACCTTCAGAATCTACTGAGTTTTCACAATTAGCACCACCTTCATCTTTGAGGGACAATTTAGCCTGCTCATCCCATAGTTTGGGAGAGTCATTCTGTCCCAACCTTTCTCTGACTTCTTTTTCTCTTTCCTCCAAATCAGGAAGATCATCTTCTCCTAAATGAACTTCAGAAGATAAATGTTTTTCTTTGGCATCTTCAGAAACATTTTCCTGTGCACTAATTTCCTCTTCTGTGTCTTTTACTATTTTTTCAGATCCTTCTGTTGCTTCGATATTTGAAGTCTTTTCTGTAACCTTTTCTGAAGTGCTCTGCATTGTCTTATTGCCTTCACTTTCTTTATTTGTTTTGTCTTTTTCAAATGTCTGCTGCATTATCTTGGCCTTACTGGAAAAAAAAACAAAACAAAAATATAGTACAGCACAGTTACTAGCAAAACTCGTGAAGTTTTGATAATTACAAAGTTACTTTTAATTAAATTTTCCTATTTCCCTCGACACAGAGGTACATGTACATGTATGTGTATTTTTTTTAAGGATTTGTCCATGTTCATGTTCATTCTTACTGTATATCTCTTGTATTGTGCAAACTTTTGTATAGTTCCTGCTTTCTGGAAGCTCTGGCCAAAAAAGCTGACAAAGGTTTGGGTTCTGGCTGGTGATAAGGCAAGTTAACTCGACTCTCTGGAGAAGAAATGATCCATTACTGGAGATACCAGTATACAGTGAAAAAAGATTTTCCATTGCACAAATTTATCTTGGAAAAAAATTAATATATATCAATTTTTTAAAGACAATTTTACAATTAATAATAATTTTCCCACATGCAACGGGTTACCTCTAACAATTCTCTGGGTTTCACTGTGGATATCTAAAAGTTCATCTTTCCTGGATTTTTCTTTTGTCTTTCTACTGGGCTTTTTTGCAGCTCCCTAACAAACATTCATAATTTATCAGTTTAGTTCATATGTTTACTTTAGGCCAAAAATAAAATTAGCTTTGTTTGGTGTTGCCGGCTGACTCAGGTAAATCGGTGTGGTCCGAAGATTTTTTTCAGCTGATACAGATCGTAATTTTTTTTGTTCTGTATATCCGGATTTAGGTGCCTGTACGTTTGAGTAATATACAAAATGAGAATGAATCATGTAAACGCTTGATTGATCGAACAGTTGGCATTTAAAACCGTCTATGTGATGTTGAATATGTGTATCACAAATCAAAGCATGGCTGTCGGAAGCAGTAAACCCTGTATAACAGAAGTTGATTGCATGACTCTCAGGGCTCGACATTAACGCTTGTCCACTTGTCCGGTACCAATGAAAAACTAGAACTGTCCAATAGGGACAAATACCCCCGCTGGGTTTTTCCGAGTAGGTGCCAATTCAGAAATATTTTATGGATCTAGTAAGAGGTATTCACTATTGTCTAATAAAGTGCCTCGCCACAGCATGATACGCCCATCAAATATTGTTCGATAATCATAAATTGGTTAGGGTGCAAGAAAATTAAGTAACCTTGATTAACAGATTGACACAGATTTAAATGATCTAATTTCCATTTCTTATCATGTTTAAAATATTGTACATACATCTCTAAGAGACTTACAGTGTAGGGATTAATTAAAACAAATAATACATCATATAATTCTAAACTGGCTGTGTTAGAGCTTAACAAATATCCATCTGCAGCTTTAAATTGTTTATTGCATATTTTATGAAATAATGGAAATGCTACAGTCTAATAAAAAGAAATCAGAAATTAATTATTCTTTAGACTATAAAATTCTAAGTGAGACATGACTGCAATTTGTTGCAAATATATAAAAATTGAAATGTAATTTTTTTCAATGAACACATGTATAATTGATTTTAATTATATTATACAATACTAATTCAGTTTTAATCATACACTAAAACATCAATTTGTTTTAATTACATTACACCAATTGAAAGATCTTTATCTGAACTACAGCCATCAAGAACTCCTAATTAACACAAGCAACTATAAAGGCCATTTCTTTTTGCCCAACTCCCAAGAGATAAATGAAGATAAGATCTAGAGATGCTCTTGCCAGTTAACTCCCCGACAATGAACTCATTAATTTCTCTCTAATTTGACATGCACATTTCTGCTATCAAAAATTCTCCTTGACCAGTGCTTGATAATTATGCCCATGGGACAAACTGAATTCCTCTCAAATCATTAACATTTGTTATAGAATTTGCTGTAAAGTATATGATAAAAAAAAAGTTTTTACTTAATTTAGCATTTTTTAATAAGGATACAACTATATTTTTACATTTTTTAGGATTATGAAATTTAAAATTTTAAAGACTTAGTTTTTTTTAAAAAATCACTTAAATTAAAGGTCACAGTGACCTTGAAATAGGTGGTGACACACCGTCTACCCAAGATGCATAAATTGTCCAAGTTTGATGATTGTATGTCTAATAGTTTTCTAGTTATGAGCCAAACAAAATCACAAAATAAAAAAGAAAAAACGCCTGTAAAATGCAGAAAAATCATCCAATCATGATGAAAATCCCAGGTGCACACCTTCATATGGTGAATAATAAGTGTATAAATTTTCAGACAAATCCATTCAACAGTTTCTGAGAAACGGTCCGGACAAAATCTTGTCTACAGACAGACGGACAGACGGACATGGTGATTCCAATATACCCCCCTAAACTTCGTTTGCGGGGGTATAACAATTACGGACAAGTGAATATTGCTGGGCACTTGTCCGATTGGACAAGTGATTTTTCATGTAAAGAAGTCTTTGAATAATAATAAAAAAAACAACTATTGATTTAATTGATAAGTTTATCGAATACAAACGGAAGCAGTACATAAACCCGAATTTCGATCCCGATATCAATCGCTATGTAAGTTGAAGTTTACACTTGATCGGGATCGATATTCACTAATTGCATCCATACCATTGCATGGCGTGGATCTTGCGATGTTTGCCGATTTGGAATAAATCTGATTGAATTACAGATTCACTTGCAAACATTTATGTTGTTGTCAGGTCAGGTTGTGTAGAAAAAATTTTGTTTTATATGTGTTTGTCTTTTTTATCAATAACAAGACTAATAAATCAAGCACGTTTATTTTTTTTTTTTCATTTATGTAATAGTTTTCAAGTTGACAGAATAAGATATTCAATGAAATTTTTTTCGGACAAGTGAAGTTGAAGTTCGGACAAGTAAATATCTTGGTCACTTGTCCGAATGGACAAGTAGGGAAAAAAGTTAATGTCGAGCCCTGATTCTCCGCGATAAATGTGTGTTGTGGCAAAAATATACTGACGAATCAGTTTTACCACTTTGAATTAGAAATTTCAAGGTACAATGTCCTGTCCGATTTGCTAGATGAATCTTGCAGCCATGCTTAGATTCGTGCATGTGAAAACAACTAGATGCCAATTCAATATCAGTGACTTTTTATACCACATGTATTAAAGGCTTAAAACTAATAGGGTTTGAAAATGAATAACAACTTGAAATTGATTCGGACTGCAGTTGTTGTTAAACAATCGGAAACCCATGACGCCTAAAACTAAAAACATTATGAAATTGAAAAAAAAAATATTTCCCCTACCTACCGACCCAAACACATTAAGGCTGAGTCGGCAATGCCAAACCTACAATATTTTAATTGTGGCCTTATATATCCACAAACAATACATATGCATTGAACTTGTTTGAAAGATATTTTTCTAAAATGAATGCAAGTGTTTGGGTGATTCTACTTTTTTCTTCTGTTGAGAAGAGAAGGGGATGGAAATAAACGTGACATAACTGTGTACCTTCTTCAATTTGGCCAGAAGTTTTGGATCCAAAGAAGATTCATCAAATCCTTCATCTTCATTGCCCTCCCTGCTGCTATCTGAGCTGTCTCCACTGTCACTCTCAGAGTTATCTTCCTTGTTATGGTTCTCTCCTACAACACTTTCAGACATTAACATTTGATGTTACACTAATATATGCAAATTTAATTAGACTTTATGAAAAGCAGTATTGTTTGAGATGTTAAATACAGATACCGACCTTGTGTATTTTCCTCCTCATTTTCAGCATCAAATAAGTCACTGTTGGCAAATAAAGTACTCTGTGAAAAAATCATAGATACATGTAGAAAATTAATCTCCATTTGAAACAAAATTTGTAATTACTAGATAGTAAAATGTTCTTGTTAAACTAGAATATCCTGGCTAAGTTGCAATATAGCAACACATACATTATTTTAATGTTGAGACATTACAGGACTTTAATAGTCGAACCCATTACCACCAAGTCACCTGTGTTGTTCACTACTTTCAGTATTAACATTAACATAATGACTAAGAAGAAAATATTGTGATTTTTTAAGTGCTGTGATAAGATTTCCATGATTTTGAATTGTCACTCTTGATCCTTGCTAAACCTCAGTAAGTATTATTAATCACATTGTTTGCTGACAAATGTCATAGACAATGTACAAATGTTTTTTTCTCTGCTTGTCATCAAATTTCAGTTAAGCTTGTGTATGTCTCTGACATTAGTCAACAATCTAGCCTTGAATAAACTATTTATTCCATGCAACTGTACCTTAGCTTCCCCTGCTTGTTCCTGATCATCTTTTTGTTTATCCTCTGAAACGAATTCGACATAAAAGGTTACTTACATCGTAGATTACCACAAATATTTTATAGTATTACATATATACTCAAGAGCTGTGGAAAACTGCCGGTCATGCCGGCAAAAAATGCCTGTGACCGGTAAAAATGCTATCGATGTCGGTCCAAATGACAACCTCTTTCTTTGTTAAAGGTTTTTGTTTTTCCATTTTGATTTAGGCCTATCATCGGCGTATTTCCCAGCCTAATTATCGCACCTTATATACGATTGCGCAATACCTTTTCTTTGCACGAGATCGAGGCTTTAGGAAATGAATGCGAAACCAGCATTGTCTCGGGTGACCTATCAAATTTACAAATGGGGCAGAATTAGGTAAAAAACATAAAAAAAGACAAGAGGCCCATGGGCCACATCGCTCACCTGAGAAGCTTTGACCATTCTGTTCTTTACCAGATTTCTCCTTGTAATACAAAATGAATCCCCACCCTACCCCACTGATCATAATTTAGACATTTTAAAATCTACATTACCCCAGGATCCTTCCATGTGCACATAAGTTTCAGCTTTTGTGGCCCAGTTGTTCTTGAGAAGAAGATTTTCAAAGATTTTTCCTATGTGCACATATTTTATACTGGGTCAGCTGACATGGGTGGTATTAAATATCCAATTTCTCAAAAAAGCATTGAATTATTAGTATCATGGGCATATCAAAATAACCTGCTTACTTTGTAGATTCTACACACACCAAAATTATATTCATGAAATGCTGAAACCAAAAAATATATCATTTGTTTTGTTGAAAATGCAGTGCTTTTTTCACGTTTATATGTT